ACTACAATGGGCAGAAGGTTACAGCACAGCACACTATATTATACTTGGTCCAACATTCAATGGGTTTTAATAGAGGCTTATTTTCTGGCTCTTTTCTACTCTTTTTTGCATTTCAACTAAAAAGCAAAAATAAATACATTCATGCCAATACATGAGTGGCGTTCTGGTGAAGACAAATCCAGAGGCTGTTGAAATGGTGGCAAATATGTTTCTCAACATTAATGAATTCAAAAGTAATTTCCACTTTTTTATATATGTATTATTGCCCACATTTGTAAACCGCTTTGTGACTCTGGTCTGTGAAAGGCGGTATATGAATAGAGATGAATTACTATTTACTTTCTTACTCATACTCTCATTCCTTCAAAATCACATAATCATAATAATTCATAAGCGCTCCAGTGTGTGCCGTCTTCTCTGGTGCACACTGGGGTAGTCTTGCACAGTTTTTCCAATGTGGTTTTACTGCAAATGGCAAATAAATTATTGTATCTTGTAATCCATAATCACAATCCATCCAATAATATTGATTCCCTGATAGCATTAAATTCGTCCAAATAATGAGATTATTTAAAAACAAAGTCATTTTAAACATTATGTCTGACACGGTATCTTTTATCAATCAATATTTTATGTTATTCTTGTTTACCATCTTATTGTGTTATGTTAAATGATTGACCCTGTTTTATGTGTGCAATCTGAGTGCTCTTATTTACTTCTTTCTCTGCTGTAATGTGCGCAACGATGACACAAACATTTCTAAATTACTAAAAATATCTTATCTTATCTATGTTATCCTCCACATCAGTGTTTGCCAACTTAGCGACTTTGTCGCTAGATTTAGCGACTTTTCAGACCCTATAGCAACTTTTTTTCAAAAAAGCGACTAGCGACAGATCTAGACAAAGCATTAAAATCATTAAATGTTGTTAATGTTGAAATTATTTTTGTACATTTGTAGTTCTAAACATATTTAGGGTGTTTTTTACTCACTTTTGTCTCTCCCACGACGTTAGTCCTCTCTCCTACAGCGTCCGTTACAGTTATTTGCAAATTGACAATTATGTAAATTTGGCGATGACGTCATTTAGCGACTTCTAGCGACTTTTGGGACAGCCAATAGCTACTTTCCTTACTGAGGAGTTGGCAACACTGCTCCACATTGTGCTAAGTCAGTCTGATGGTGTTCTGAACTAGTCTGGTCGTACCACACCATAGTACAATTTACATTTCGTACTAAGGTCTGGATTTGCTCCATTGACTCCGTGAACAGCTGGGAGAGGTTAACTCCTTTTGCAGATTGAAACGATTGGATCTGAGTTTACCGTGACGTATGTAGTGCGCCCGAGTGAGTCGTTTGCATTTAGCATTTAGCCTAGCCATCTCCTTTGCTGGTAACGGAGCCCGCGGGGAGCAGCGCCACAATCTTTGCAACGATTACATTTGCTAAACATTCCTCTTGCTCCGGCTTCAATTTCTTGATAGTATCAGACCGAAATACTTTACTATCACATTCTTTGCCATTGCCAAACCACAATCTGCCCGTTCGGCGCAAACTCTTGACGTCACCCACAACTAACTACAACACCCACCTCCCGCGCTCACTTATTGCAGTGGTTCCCAAAGTGGGGGTCCCGACCCCCCGGGGGGTCGCGGGAACCCCTGGGGGGGTCGCAAGATGATTTCCACACACACAAAGAAAAAAGATTTTTTTTTTTTTTTAGCAAATATAAAGCCCTTAAATATTTATTTAGCATTTGATTTGATTCAAAAGGACTACTTGTTAAATTGTGTTTGGAGACTATAATATATTTTAAATAACGTTAGTAATTTTGTCCCAGTCATTGCAGCGTCAATCAAAATCATCACGTAACACAGCTCACATCATGCGCAGCGACAAAGCGTGTCCTGCTGTTGTTTGCTAAAACTAAAGGTGTTTGGAGGCTACAAATAAATAATACCTGCTTTAAAATGAAACGTGGTTAATATCCACAACAGAAAAACCCGGAGGGGGAGAAAAGTCACTTGTATCAGGGGTCAGGCTGATGGTGCGAAGAGAGGGAGAGAGGGCAGAGGAGGGAGAGAGGGCAGCGGAGGGAGAGAGGGCAGCGGAGGGAGGGAGGACAGCGGCGGAACAGCGCTTTAAAGAGGCCCGGCTTTTTGGAGTCAAAGGTAAAGAGGTCCGCACATTAAAAGCGGGTGGCTGCTTTATGCTGTTACTGACAGTAACTTTGGAAAGAGAAGCCGCGGGGATGAACCGCATAAAGTAACAGCAGAAAGCGGCCGCCCGCTTTTAATGTGCGGACCTCTTTTCCGCTGACTCCGGAAAGCCGGCCCACTTTACCGCGGTAGGAGAACAGTGAGGGCGAGCCGCAAGAAATGCGCTCCACTTCTGCTGAGGAGGGAGCCCACCAAGCCCATCACTGTGTCACTACATGAGTAAAAATATGCAAGCCTCCTTTTTTGGGCTGGACAGTGCAGCTCGGTAGTGGCGTGAGTCTCTAGAAAGCGTTACTCCGTATCAAGGAAATACATGCTCATTTCATGTGACGGAAGGGCTGTTGGGGGGGGCGGGGGGTCGCGGGCTAGCAGGGCATTTATGATGGGGGTCGCGGGCTAAAAACTTTGGGAACCCCTGACTTATTGGTCGGTCGAAATTCAACCGATTGTAATTGCTGACACAGGGACCAGACCCAGACGTTACATGCAGTGAAATGATGATTGAGCGGAGTGTACGGATGGATAAGGCCAGGCTAGTTCTGAACAGGTACGCAAACTATTCCTGATTGCATGAGACATTCAAAGTCCCTCGCCACAAATGGATGGGATATTTGATGATATTAACAACATTTATATGGGTCCAAACAAAGAGCAGACCCTCTCCCCCTAAAGTTGTGGAATGCATCTTTAAGCGTTTGACTTAAATCAGGATTCCTCATGTGATGCAGATTGGCCGAGATATTTTGCTGAAATATACATGGGATTTGAGCGATCTCCCGTAGCACATGAATTTGAATGGTGTGAGAGCAGGAAGGAGACTGTGCGGGGGAAGTCGTCAGGGGACCAAGAGAGCGGTTTGCAATGTTGTTGTATATATCTACGTAAAAAGTCTCAGATTGAAAATGGCAGCTCCCTGAAGGATTTGAATCCAGACACAAGCAGCATGCTAATAAATACGAAGACACGGCAAAGGGCATGAGCCGTGGCAGAGGGCTTCTATAAATGAAACTGTGGGAATGTTCAAATGTCAAACCATATACCAAGATTTTAAAATAGATTATGATAGAAAGAGCATTAACTAAATGGCTACTTTGTGTAAGTGTAAATGCTAGAACACGCTACACAAATCACTGAAGGATGACAAACAAATATTTATCATTTTTGACTGCAGACACACATCATTGTTAATTTTTCCCGATCAAGCCGTTCTTTTTGTCCAGACTCTTGAACGTGTCTGCGGATCTGCATTCCTCCATGACAGTGACAGGTGACATCTTGCTTTCCTAAGTCCATCCCTTATGTCGTCTCGCTCGGATCACATGTTGAGTCTCTGCGTTCTTTTTCACAGCTTTTATGTATCTCAGTGTTTCGCCAAAATCTACAACAAATGTTTGACCAAGCTGTTCCTCTTTGCAATTTAGTGGCAATGTAGATTTGTGTCTTTTGTATGTTTAATTCTCGCTCGATGTAAAGTAAATATTTACAGCCAGACAATGTAGTTCATTGACAGACTGGATTGTGATTTATGAAGCATAACTCAATTTGAACATGACATAAATGGCTTTGTTTCAGTAAAATAGTTGAACAGAATAGAACATGTTTTCATGTTGGATTCTTCTATTGTTTCTGAAGTGGAGGAGTTACATTATCAGTAAGAGATGGATGGAGCGTGAGATTGACTGACAGATCGGTGCAGCGTGTGCAGTGATTGGATTGTTGTGGTTCAGACACAGTGAATATGTGGAACATCCTCTGGATGATGAGTTTAAGCCACTGGGACGATATAGAATGTGTTCAGTAACAAAGAAGGTGTATAAAGTCTCTTTTGTAGCCAAAGTAGTCTCTGCTAAACAAGCACTCATGAAATCATTTGTGAATATTAATGTGCAACACTTTTCTAACACCACTTTTCTAACTTGTCTAATGCAGTTAAATGCAATTATGTCTTCATTACTGTCATTTGTTTAAGACGAAAGTGTGTCAGTGGTGGCCACAAAGACAATTTTCCGCTAAAGTGGACAATGACAAAGTTAAATTCAGTTCAATTCAAGAGGGAGATGGGTTCAAAGACAAAGCTCTGGATTTATTCAACCCTCTCCTTCTATAATTTGGTCATCATCTTTTCATAATGACAGAAAGGACGAGATGGCAGATACAAGCGTTCAAAATGAGTTTTCTCTGCAGCATGGCTGCTCACACAGGGGGAGCTTTAAGTAGATCCGTTGTTCCTTCACATTGAGAGGAGACAGCGAAGGTGGCTCTGGAATCCATTATAAAGGATTTACTAGAAATAAACCTTCTTTAATCAGCACAGGATTTTAGCAAGAAATACACAAACTTTATCAATCCTTTCCACAGATCTGTACTTGGATCAAAATAGTGAATGAAATTAGATATAAGTAAATCATGATGGCAAAAGCACTTTTCTGGTGTTTTTTCATTATATCCTTCATACAATCCACAGAAACATTCTAAGGAACTATAACTAAATTTAAACATTGCTGAAAGGGAACACACATTGTATAGACACATCTGTAATGGATTATATAGGCTGATGAATTAATGTTTTAAAAGATTATCATCGGCCAAAGATGTGCGAACGCTTTAGGTGCACCCGCGAGTGCAGACAGGAGGGATACAGCTGTGCTTTGCATGAGCTCCTCAGCCTCTGGGACTCACTATACACTAAAAACACATTAAGCGATTCACTTCAGACTCACTAGAGGCCACACTGTTTCCAAATGCTGTATGATTTTTATTCTTCAGAACTAAGTGTGTGCATGTGTGTCTGCTGCCTCTGCCATCTGGACTGGTCAGTGTGGGCCTCTGGAGTTCACCTGCTCTGCTGCTCTGTGCCAAGCTCCACACCTGCTCTGGACATGGGCAGGCTGGACTGTAGGCGCAGGCAGGTATGCAATGGTCTGTGGGTTTTCTGTGGAAATATTCTGCCTTGAGGCATTTGAAACAGAACAATGTTCATGTATATATGCAGCATTCAGTTGTATATACAGTTCTATTGGAGTGAATCTCAAAATGCTATAAACTCATAGAGAATAATTTGGGTTTGGTGTTTTATGATTGCTGTGAAAAAGGTTTATACTGGTTTAAGATGGGACAAGCTGCTGATGTTTTTATGAATCTTCCTTAAAGACACTCGAGTCCAGACAACAGCACATGGCGTGACTGAGTTTGGTGTTGTCCGCAGCGTGTGCCAGAATGTCCAATTAACATGTGGGCTGCTGCTTCCTTCTTCTTGTGCAAGGCTATCAATTACTCTGTGCTCTCTCTGGAGGTGGACCCTCTCTGAGCACCGGTGTCCACACAGAGGAACAGGCACCTGCAGAGTGTTTGTCACCTCGTCTGTTGGCATCTGCACCGCACTGCATTGTGGGATAGACGGCCATCTGCTGCTGTATGAAGCTCTGTTCTTTGCTCGTGAGTTTGAGCAGTGGGCTTCTTCTGCTAACGCTACACCTGCACTTTGTATAAAACTAGATTCCATGTCTTGAGGGGATTCCACAGAATGTTGGGATGTTTTGTAGGATAAACAAAGCACCACACCACAGTTTGTGACACATCGAAATGAAAAACAGTATCAGTTTTGTTACTCGTTAATGACGTTTTACGCTGGACAGATTCATTTTCATTAGATTTTGAGATCCTTGCTCTGTTTTCAAAAGATGACAGCTTCTCAAAGACATTTTAGATACAAATGATATGAATAAACAGTATTTTTGGATGTCTGTGAACAACACACAAACAGCTGTCTTTTATCAGATGTGAACTTTTAGCACGTTTTGCTGGAAGTGTTTATACCAATCCCAGAGAGACAGGTTTGATTGACACAGTAGCGTGAGTAAAGTTTGCTCAATTATCTTGGCAAGGTTACGATTGCTGCCTTATGTGTCGCAGCAGGTCCTTGTCATTCTCAGTAAATACTGTAAGGTCTCATGCCCACAGTGCTTGATTCTAAGTTCAGGTGCTATATGAAAGGCAATTAGATCATTAACACACACTCACATTCATGCTGTGACATTTATTGTTGCTTCATGTAGTGATACTATAATTTATTTTTAAACTATAGGGTTGCTGTATTGTAACTGGTGGTAAATATAGTTTACTCATGTAGAGCTCTGTCTATAGCAAAGCGATAAACGACGAGAGATTTCTAACTGTGCCACTGATGAGGAAGAGGGAAGTGAATTAAAATCAGTTTGAGTAAATGTGTTTGTAAATAAATGGGAAGTTTGGAGTGAGTGGTATTTGTAGGGCAGAGCTGCAGAGATGTTCCACTTAATTCCTGAAGGACAATAGTGGGCTTCTGCGGCCCACATCTCTGACAGATGTTTGTCCAGCCGAGCCTGCAGTGCCACAGGCTCTGTGTGCTCTAGAAACAGCAGAGCAGCTGCTGCCCGCTGCGCCCCGTCCTGCAGGCTTCACGTCCATGATGTGACCCTTAAACAGGTTTGTGTGGGGAGCCAACTCACACCAGCCACCTCTGTAAAACATTATCAATATTGACTAAACCGGCTCATTATAGATTTCACAAAACACTAACAGCATATGACACTGTTTCTTGACTGCCACTTTTGAATTGCCACTTTTTATTGTACATACTGTAATATATCCTGCATTTAACATGTTTGCAAATTTCTTTCTTTTGCACAATCTTGAGTGATTCTATCCATGCCAGTTGTGACATGTACATTTCTCCTCTGTGAGATCAATAAAGTCTATCTTACAGTATCTTATCTTAATTATCTTATCTTTTACGCTGCATTTCAATACAGAAATAATATCATATCACAAATTATATATTGTGGTATCTTCTTTTTCAGGGTGTGCTTTTGACCCAGAACATGCTGTGCTTGTTGAAAGGTTTCCTAAGGACAACTTTAAAATGCCTCTGTTTCTTTATTTCATGTTGATATGTGACAGTGAATACCCAGGCATGTTCCAACTCTTATTTTTTTTTTCTCCGGTCTGTTGATTGTGATTAGGTGATAGCCCTCCTGCTGTTTTTCCCATTATTTCCCTCGTTAATGCATTGTTATAAAGATTCACCTTTTCCTAGTCTGACTTTTATCTGATGTAACAGTCATTGATGCTTTTCAGCCCTCGATCTGACGCTAAGATTTCAATTATGCCTTGAATTCCAATAACATTTCATTGTTCTTGCGTTTTATGATCTCCTCTATCTGTGTCTTTCATCAGGCGCATCTCAATGTGCTTTGCTTCACTGCATCTCCAGACATTTCAGTCTTCCAGCGGAGATTCACACTGCCCCCTGCTGGAGAGCTGCCACACACCAGTATTGACTGAGCTTGGTTCTCTGCCAGTGGCTCAATATCAGGATCTGTCATGTACAACAATAGATACTGGAGGATTGAAGAGCACTGTACTCCTGTCTACTTCTTCAACAAATTGAATATTTGACTCTTTGAGAACTCAGCTCAAGTTAATCATTGGTTTTAAATTTGGGCCAAATCCTTCTATCATGTTGTGTTTATTTATGTTGAAATATTTGGTGCTCCGGTTTCTCTCACCACTCAAAACATGCAGCAGTGAATCTGGAGAGTGACTGAATGACAGAGAGGATGATACTGACTGACACCTCAGAGAGAGGAGTGAATGAAAAGTGAGAAACTTTTCCCAACAAGCCCAAGGCATCATTGTTGTTATCATTGTTATTGTTATTGTTATTATTATTATGATTATTATTATGATTGTTATTATTATTATCATCATCATCATCAATGGTGTTGAATTAATCCAGCCTAATGAAATACAAATTGTGTATTTAGCACACACAAAAATACATCTGGGAATCATATCAACAGCAAACTTTTGACAATATGAAAAGAGAAGGTAAAAACTATGCTTCAGAACATTCACCACAGACATTTGATACATGCTACACACAAACATGAAAGATTGTATCCAAATGGTCCCATATTTCCACCTATTATAAAATGATCACTTTAAAAACATCTGATTTATATTGGTTACGATTACAATTGTTAATTATTGTGAGAACAGATGTAGAGAATAAGTGGGGAAATGTTTAACCCCTAAAATAGAAAACGTCATATATATAAAATAAAAATAAAAACGTGTTGTATCTTATTATATTAGATCTATGTGGGCGTAAAGTCATTTAAATAATCCGTGAAGACATTGTAAGCCGTTCTCCCGGTGATAAGACGAGCTAAATGGCCTCTAACAAATGGTGCGAGACTGCGTTCTGTAACGAAGCTTTGTGTAATGAACCTGAGGTGGCTCTCCTCCATACATCATGCACTCATCACTCTCTTTACCACAGAGCAGGCTAAATGAGGATTTATGCTCTGTTCTTATCATCCTTGTCCTCTTTTCTACCCTACACGTTAGCCACTGCCATCCCAGACACGCTTCCAAAGGCAATATCCTCTCACTGTAATTATTTCAGCGACAGAGATGCCTCATTAACATAAGCATGGCAGGAATATATGCACCTTTAAACAGAGCATCCCGTCTCCTTTGAGGATGCGATCTCCTTTTTTCAACGGCTGGCAATCAAACGTGGCCATAAGGATCATTTTGAATTGTTCTGTGAAAAGACAATCATGAGAGATTGTTTGGTGAGATGAAAAGGTCTGTGAGGACTTTGATACAACTGGTGTCCCACAAGCTGAGGGACCGGAAATGGCACCTTTGAACTTCTCAATCCTAACACAAGTAAGAATATACATAAGAGTACTGCTTCAGGCGACATAATGGCCATTCTTTTTGTCAGGCAAGGAAAGTTTTGTTAGTATGGCAAAATTCATACACAAGGGAACTCAAATTGCTGAACAGAATAAGAAAGAAACTGTCACACAACGCATTGAAATCATAAAGAATAATTAAAAAGAGTAAAGAATGTAGAGTAAAAAAGTAAGAAATTAGTACAATTGCAAGATAAGATAAGTTTAACTTTATTGATCTCACCATGAAGAAATGTACATGTCACATTGGCAGATGGATAGACTGGAAGTGTGCAAACATGTGAAATTATGTTATAGTGTCTTTTGTGCCAGATATATTATGAACAAAAAAACAAAAAAAGTGACTATACCAGTGCAAATCCAGTGTCCAAGCTTTATAGAATGTGACGCTGGTGAAACGCAGTGCTGTGATCAGGAAGTGGCCTGTAGACAGAGGTCGTGTGCCTCAGAAATGTCATCGTGAAGACTGAAGACCCACAGTTCATTTCCATCACTGCAGCTCTCACTAACGCACTCTCTCTCATTCATTGTCATTGCCTTTCCCTTTAAGTGCACTTTCGCCCACACCACTTGGAAATTGATTGAAACAAAATGTCACAATTATGCCCTGTAGCTCGCCGCTTCAATTATTCATCAATTAGGGACTGGGCCGGTTTTTTTCTCTGCTCCGAGCTGATTTTTCATTCAGTTTGCTGGAGATGTATGGCTCCCCTGCTGTTAACCAGTCCAAAGTCATTAGTTTCTGGGTTTGCAATTAAAGCTGATGCATTATGCATGAGGCTTCGACTCAGTAGACATGCACAGCAGCCGCGGCCGCAGCAGATCTCAACGAGCTCTGGAGGCATGGACGGAAATTAATTTGGTCAAAATGAAGTTCTTTCTTGTCTCCTTCTCTGAGCTGTGACAGGCTGAACAGATGCCAGGAGAAGATAAGGAGAGGCCAGAGATGGGACAGGTATGAGACAATAACAACAGTCCCATCAGAGATCAGAGAAGTGTTTCAATGCAACCCAAGATTGGGTATTTGACCCATGGTTATCAGCAGGTTCGAACTAATAATATTAATAATGTTCATCTTCTGTAAGGTTTTTTTTTAGCATTTCTCCACAGTGAACAGAGTATGGTGTGGTTTCTGGCTGACCACACTATAGTAAACTTTATCTCCAGAGTTAAAGCATTTGGAGGAGCAGAGAAGAGCGCGCACTGGAACAGTCAGTGACTTCTTCTTGTTCTTCACCTACAGAAGACAATAACATGTCAAACTGCGTGTTTCAGAGCAGAGATTGTAGGATTACAAGTACAACCATAGACAGGTGCTGGTGCCACAAACACTGACCTTCAGGTTGATAAAAAGCACACACTCCAACCACGTGGTGAGGATGGGTCTGAGACATGACGTACAGTAACAGCTTTTGGCCAGTAGGGTGACACAGTTTGGGTAGTTGGGAAGTGTCTTATGGATCAGAGAAGACTTATTTCTGTCCTCATGTAGAACAAACCTGGCAACCAACTCCTGTGGACAATCATTTGTGATGATGATGATGATTTGATCAGATTCAGTTGTTAAACATAATCAGTCTACATGACTAACTCTGGGACATGGGTACATTGCATGTGTGAGGTATGGACATTCTGTACCAGTGCTCAATAATGTTGCACTGTCCCCAGGGTTTGGCAATATAGCAAGTAAAATCTTTATAGTATTGCCCTTGTTGGACAATAGCAACTTAAATTAAACTGTGAAATGAAAAAAATTAAATTTTCAAATTTGAAGAACAATTTTGATCCACTGCCAACAATCAAAAAAGTATTGGAGCTTACAGACGCTGAAATCTCAATTATGATTGATACTGGGCCTTTTCTGAAAACAGTTTATTCTTTGTGAACTGCCTTGTTGTGTTCACTGCACAACACACAAGGCCAGGAGCTCGACCCATCCATCCATTTTCTACCCTTTTAATCCATTTCTGGGTCAGGGGGGTGGCAATCAGAGCTGCCACCCAAGTCTCATAGCACCAGCCCCTCACTGACCCTCTGCAGGTGGTGAGTCCACAGGAGGACGGCTGCTCTCTGAGCGTGAGCATAGCCTTGATCTTTTCAGCGGGGGCTTTTAAGTGTCTTGCCCAAGGACACAACGACAGCAGTCATCAGTGGGAGTCGGTGGAGAAGGTGCAGAGGTGGGAATTGAACCCACAACCTTCAGGCCTGAAGGCCAATGCTCTACCAACTGAGCTACTGTCGCCCACAGCTCGACTCACACTTTAATTGAATTAATTGTATTTGTCGTCCAGCCTACCCTTACTAAACACAAACCTTTAAGGACACAACCTCTTGTCCCAGCACTGAAGGCTTTGGGTCGCACTGAACAAACTTGTTTCCTTCACAGTAGAGCTCCTTCAGGCGCAGCTGGTGGAACTGAACATAATAATGAGACAAACGTCCTGAATGTTATGGTTAAAAACTGAAAGTACCTCTGCAGGGAACATGGACAACTTATTTCCAGCCACATCCAAGACCTGCAGTTTGGTCAGAGCCTGAATCCCCTGTTTAGTCCCAAGACAAAAATGAATTGTGATAAATAAAAGCACAGAGTACACACAAGTGGCATGAGCTACCTCCGGGAGAGTGTCGAGCTGATTCCTGGCTAAATATATCTTGGAAAGTAGTTTACAGTGGTACATCTCCTGTGGTAGGGCAGACAAGCAGTTGTGTGTGAAGTTGACCTCAGTGAGTTCAATGAGATGACCCAGCTCTGCAGGGATGTCCTCCAGTCTGTTGTGAGCCACACTCAGGCACTGCAGCTTTGTTAAACTAAAGACAACAAAGACAAAGAACAAACAAGATGCAACGAGATGGATAATAATACTGCATAAGGTCAATAATAAGAACCTTTTGATTTCTGAGGGAAGCCTTTGAATTTGGTTGTGATTTAAATTGAGCACGCAGAGGTTTTTCAATGAGCCTTGATGAGAGTGATGCGATTTAAACACTAAATATTGTCTAAAACCATTGATCTGACTCACCGATCACCTCAGATGACACGGTGCTGATGTGGTTGCTGTACAGATAGAGCTTCTTCAGTAGCTCCAGATGGCCCACGACAGCAGGGATCTCTTTAAAGGTATTATTTCCCAAATTCAGCTCAGTCAGCTAACAGGAGGAGCAAAGTGAGAAGTATTAAATCACATACCTGGATGCAGAGTCAAAACATGCAAGAGAGACTATTTTGGCAATCCTCCAGGCTCTGGCACTTATGACACGCACGTGTGGCAGCCTCAGCAGCTCCAAAGGCAAAGTGCAGATGTGGTTAGTAGATAGTAGTGACGGCGGTAGAGAGCAAGTGGTGAAAAGGTGGTACTGCACCCTAAAATCCCCCCAGAAAGGGGACGGCGCTCTTGAGCAAGTGGTGAAAGGTGTTACTGCACTTTGTTTTTCAAAGAGTTAGCTTCTGTTGGCCTGTGTGTGTGTGTGATAATGCTTTCACAGTTGTCTAAAGTGTTTTATGATCACGGTGTATTCTAAAACAAGCAGTTAGGTCAATAAACTAATTAATCTACAGGTCCTCCCTGTTAACGACACGTGTATGTGTGTGATAGTGATGAGCGGTAGGGAGGTTTGCATGGAGCCAAGTGCACGGCCACTAGTTCTGTTATCGACAGCTGCAAAATACGATATATATGTTTAAATCTCAGAAATTGTGAAAAAAAGAACAGAATATTAGATTTACCTATAAACATGATTGTTGTGTTTACTTTAGTAGTTTAGTCAGTGGTTTAGTGCTGCTCTCTGGCGGTGGACACAGGCATAATGCACGCGGAAATGACGCAGTCCTGATTCCTCCAATCAGCTTCCGCGTTTCCCGGTTCGAACATCAACTGACTGAAGGCTGAGCGCTTGTTTTGGCTGTGGACCTGTGCAGTCTGCGGGTTTGACCTGAAAAAACTGGTTTTTATTGACGGATACATTATCTACTCTCGGAGCTGTAATAGTGAAGTGAGTTACCGTAGAAACCAAGTCTTAAAGATAATCAATAGTCTGCGTTACACTTGTTCGCAGCACGTTGGCTACACCATGCTAATGCTAATGCTAGCTATAATATACTCATGTTCATATATAACTGCTTGATTGCACTGTGGATGGTTATGTTTGCATGTTCCTGTATTGTAATCTATCTGTGTCTGATCGATGCTTAGCTATGGCGAGAGAACGGGTGAAGAAAAAGTCCTACCAGGAAAGTTTGGAGGAAATAAAGGAGAAAATGAAGGAGAAGAGAAACAAGCGTTTGGCCAGCGTCTCGGCTCCAAATCGAGGACGATCCCGAATGATAACTAAATGCAACGGTATGGAGAACACACCTCTTGCTGGTTACACACATGTGGCTAACAGTATTGCCTCTGTTTTTGAGCTTCTGTAAACAAGAGAAAAGCCTGACTCTTCTCAATCCACAGGCACCAGTTCCACAAACACTATTCTGATAGGAGTGCAACAGAACAACAAAGCCCTGGCTGTGGCGCTACAGGCGGAGAAGGAAAAGGTGAGGCAGGGAAACGCTGTGATTCTGCAACTGAAGAGGGAACAGCAGGCTCTGTTTCTTCACCTCCTTCTGCTCAAGAAGAGACTCAAAGATCAGGAAGCTCTGTCTGCAAACTCATCAGGGGTACGAGTGCAACATGCACTAATACTTTACATCATTGTGTATCTTTCAAGTAATCCATTTTTTTTATATAGAGCTCTTCTGCAAAAATCCTTCCAACATCCACAATTGAATATCAGAGGTAAATGTTGCAATAGATAAATACAAACGTTTGTATTATAAAATAGTCTTATTCAGAAATGTTTATTTTATAGAAACAGTCAAGGTAATAAGAGCGTTGATGAGAGTCCTCAGCAAAAAGACTCCCCTTTGTGTGCAGGTATTTCTCAATTTCTGTTTAAATTTGGCTGGAAAAACCTTATTTCTAAACATATTTTTGTGTCAAACCAGGAGTGAGAGCAGATAGACTGCCATCAACTGTGGGTGTTAGACGCCGCCCGACAGGCAGAAGCAGCAGCAGGCGACGTTCTAACCGTGTTCAGGAATACCAGCCGGCGAGAGAGGACGCTGCTGCTTGTTTCGAGGCGTTGACAGCCAGTCCTATTTGCAGTGAGGATGCAAACCAAAGACAAATGCAGCCTTCTGACGAACCAGTGTTGACACAACCTGAAGAGTTCCAGCACTCAACACCTGAACCTGCTCCAGCAAAAAGCACCACACAAGCGCAACCCGGCAGGAAGCAGCCGACCAGAGCCAAAGCTGAAGCGGCTCAAAAGAAACCAGAGCGTGGGCGTAAAGCAGAGCGAGGTCCTCTAAAGAAACCCTGGGAAAACTCCAAACCAAGGGCTCGCTCCAAGAGCCGTGACCGCTCTGCTGCACGCTCTAAAACTGCACTTGCAGCGCAGAACAAGCTCAATACGTCACTGGGATTTAATGACACGTTCGACTTTGACTGTGAGGAGGCTGTTCACGTCACGCCTTTTAAAGCAAAAGCAGAGGACGATGAGCCAGAACTGACCACGTGTAAAGACGCAGAGAAACAGCCATCTGTTGTGTCCTTTGGGACAGATTCACTGTCACCATCTTCTGAGTCTGAGGATAGTCTCTATGTGCCACAGAAAAGAAGGAAAAAACACATGTCACCTGTAAACTCAAGAGTCATAAACACACGCAGAGGGAGACGATCGAAGAGAGTCAAAGTGAGCGATGAAAACATCCCTCCACACCTGGAGTTTGATGGTGAGATTCTCTCTGAAAAACATTTTGTTTAAGAGAACAGAAAGTCATTTTTTAATGCTTGTGTTTTTGCAGTTTACAGAGATGTGGACTCAAGCCCCAAGTTTAAGAGAGCTAGTAAAGAAGCATCACCAGCGTCTTGTGTGCAAAAAGGAATTTATGAAGAAAATCAAACTAGTGAGTTTCTACGACTTTGGGATGTATTGTGTTTAAACTGCGCAGTTTGTTTAATGGTTAAAGCACTTTTACTTTTTAGATCACAGAGAAGTGGACATCGAAGAGAACTGCCTGCTCTCCGTTAGTCCTTTGGTTGAAGCTGAAATAAAGAGAATAGATGATGTCCTTTCAAATTTCGGAGAATCTTCTAGCGACGCTTCTGCTGTCCTTGGTGACCCGACACCACAGAGAGCGAAGTCCTGCAAGAAACGTGAGCACAAGTCTTTCTGCTTCATGCTCTTCTTGTTTTCTCTGTGGTCCATGTCTCTGCACACCCTTCACTTTCCCCTTCACCGTTGGTAACTCCTGCACATGTTCACGTCTCCACAGGTGGGCTCAGTGTGAGGCCGGCTGGGCGGGGGTTGAGTTTGTGTGATGTGACAAATCTGTCCCCTGCAGCGTATCGAAAGTTCTCGCGTGGGGGGTCCCGGCTCTCGGATGTCCGCTGCTCTGCTCAGGGCCCGGGTCGCAAACGCCGCTGCACCCTGACCGTGAACTACAAGGAGCCCTCCCTCAGCGCGTGAGTTAAAGATTTTCAACCGGTGTCATTTAAAAAAAATACAAAAATAAAATCACCGACTTTGGTTTCTCAGGAAACTCAGACGAGGAGACAAGTTCACAGATGTGGAGTTTCTGAGCTCGCCAATTTTTAAGCAGAAGTCTGGAAGAAGGTCCATTCAGAAATCGAGGAGCTCCATGAAGATGCAGCAGCCTTTTGAGAAATATAATGAGTCCTTTGTTGGTTGTCGATAAAGGCAGTTTCTAACCTCAATGAACTGAACTCTTAGATTAAAATGTTTTTATTAAATGCGTCATTTAAATTCGTATGTATTTGATGTTTTTACAATTTTTCAAGATGAGACCCTATTGCCACGAAATAACATGTTATATATAAATGTAAGTTTGTTCAGCTGCATAAAATAATTTGTTTTTTCAAATAAAATATAATAATAATAATGCACTTAATGAACTACAATATATAAACTTATCTTCTCCAAAAGATGCACACACATTTCTACAGAAAATACCAGACACTCGTTCTGTAGCTGCGCCTGTTTTATTCATTCTACAAAATAGGCTAACATTATGCCAGTAAAACCAGTTGTACAAAGTGGAAATATTTCTGACAAAACATTCTAAATGTCTTTCAAAAGTACAAACCGATTTTATCCTTATAAAACTACATTGTTCTGAACAATGCATGAAATTGTCAATCTCCTTTAGCAGAACAAAACAAAAATAAATTATTGTCTTAATTGTTAAATTACAGCACATAAATAGGCTCTATTTTATTAAATTAGCAAATAGTGATTAGTTTGAATAATAAAAAAAAAGAACTTGCAAATTCTTGGAAAAATAAAAGTGCTCGATATGCAAACTGCTCTATACAATTTATGAAGAATAGCTCTGAAACTAAAAAATATATTATATATACATTTCATATATACAAAGGAATATTCTTTCTCAATAAAATCTGTACAAATTGAAAATATTTTTGGCAGGATGAAGTCCCCATCAACCATCTCTGTACAATTACATATGTAAGTGTCGTCTCATCCAGGTCAGTGATGCAGTCGCTGTGTCGGACGGTGGTGAAAGGAGCAGAGTTTACCGGCCAATCTACAGCCCCACCTTCACCTCTAGAGTAATGACCGAAAGGGCTAGAGTGTAGATTCATGCGGTCTAATTGAGTTTCCTCAGAGTGGCTGGACTGGGAATGCTCTGGGATTCCCCTGAATAAACCGGAGAAAGCTTCTAAGACTGCTGCCCCCATGACCCAGCAATGGATACAGCGGAAGAAAATGGATAGAGTGAATTCTCAATGGGCTAATGTCATGTATCCTGAGTCAACCGAGACTTCAGTAAAGGGAATGAACTACCTGACAGAAAGTATTATTACTTTTCTAGTAAAGCAACATGGCCTCATCATGAAACTAGAAATGTGGGACAGAAACAGTCTGCTGGTCGTCTGGGTTTTACCTGGAGGATCATCTACATGTCCAATGTATTAAGACTTTCAAGCTTATGTCCCATTGTAAAGCGTGCTACTTCTCAATCAGTCCTGCCTCTTTGATCTTGGTGTAGAAACATTTTTCCAGTAAGTTGGCACACTTGTAGTACTCGCTCTCCGGGGGATTGTACTCTCGACAGTTGGTGAAGATTCGCTGCATGTCCGCCATGAACAACTTGCGTGTAGTGTAGTACCTGCTTTTTAAGCGTTCACTCATTGTCTTGAGATCTATGAGTAAAACATAAGTCAGTATAAATCAGTTCATCACAGTCACTACAACAAACCAAATCGCAGAAAACAATTCTCTAAAGACTTTTGTCTTATAATGACCATTGGACTAAGTTCAGAGCCTGTTCATCTGGACCGTGAGCGTTTCTTAGGGACTCACCCATGGGAAAGCGTATGACTTGGTAATACCCAGGTGCCTCTGTTTTCTTCACAGGTTCCATGAAAGGCCAGGCATTTTGGTGACTCTGTAGAGTTAAAAACAAACATGTTATAGTGCCCTTGAGCATACACCTGATGAATATCCTGTCATACTTTGACATGCTGGAGGATGGTCTTTAGTGTGCTGTACAGTTGATCCGGATCCTTCAGTTCCTTCCTAAGTCAAATCACAACATGTGTAAGTGTTTCTTCCAAAGGGACTTCTGCAATTTTGCCAACTGAATATTTTCAGGAATGTGACATTACAACATTCCAAAGAGTACAGTTTAAAACTATGGTGAAGGGCAGCTGAAGAGTCTTTCCTGGTAACCATAGCATCAAAAGACTTCTAACCCTATTTCCTGGGCAAATCTACATGAAACAAGTCCCAAGTCCCACAACTTTTCAAGTATGTATGAACTATTGTCTAATTTCTCATAAAGGTGTTAAAAGTGGTAACTATTCAAAACGCATGCATGATGTTGATTGTGTTTGGCTGTCAATACAAATAAATTTGAGCTTGCCTAAAACACTCATGAGGACAAATAAACCAAAACACCAACCCTTTTCCAATTGGCTTCCATCCAGTGTCACCTGTTGTACAAAACCAAAACATAAAACTTAGATCTTGGAGCGGAATATGGATGTAAATATGTAATGAACAGTAAATCGTACGTATGCCAGGGATGCTTTCAATGGGAATCTGTCTCACTCCTTCCTTAAAACAGGAAAGACCTGGGTAAACTTTTCTGATCTGGGCCTGCTTCCTTTCGATCAGCTTCTTGATTATCTGCAAACAAAGAAGCTAGACATTCAGACAATGACGTTTAAATACATGTTATTTTTCGAGCGACATACTTCTTTTTGCTTTTTTATAATGATAGAGAATTCAGTGTACGGGATGCTGGGGTTCAGCTCACAGCCCATCAGCGTGGCTCCCTCGTAGTCTTTTATATAGCCCACATACTTGGCCTTTGGAACCTTAATGTCTTTGGAGAAACCCTGGAGAAATTGAAGAAAAAGAAGGAAAGGATTTGGTTCCATGAATAGTGAACGTTTCCCACATGCTCTATCACTTTTATAGCCTCACAATGAATATAAAGATATTTATGTATTTAAATGAACGAATGATTACCTGTTTTTTGAAATAGCCAATGGCATACTCGTCAGCATAGGTGAGGAAGTTCAGGATCTCGTGCTTGATGTGGTATTCTTTTAAGTGGTTCATCAAATGAGTCCCATATCCCTAAAGACAAATACATGATGCCATTTCAGTCAAACATACTAAAACACAGCTGCTGCAAGGGGCGCTCACTTTGACTTGTTCGTTCGACGTGACCGCACAGAATACGATCTCTGTAAAACCCTGGGAGGGAAACATTCTGAAGCATATTCCACCAATAACTCGTCCATCTTTAATCAGTGAGAGCGTCTTGTGCTTTCTGTCAAAACATAAACAGGATTTCATTTACTTTTTGAAATGCATTTAGTTACCCTACCTCAACATAATTCAATAAAATACAATCTGTCAGTCTGGAGATGAATTAGGGAGGTATGGGGAGGGGGTAGGGATAGCAAAAAACAACACACGGACAGTACTTGTTGTCAAAAACTGGCATTAACTGCATTCAATTGGGTGTAAATACATAATAATAATAACACTCACGGGTCAAAGACGAGTCGTGTGATGTACTCCTTGGGCATTCGGGGCAGCTGGTGGGAGAAGACGTTCTGTAGGCCCACCAGCCACATCAGAATCCTCTTGTTGGGTTTTTGGTTCAGTGAGTTCCCGATGACGTGGAACTCAATGACACCTCGCCGCTCCTCCAGACGGGCCGCCTCATCTCGCGCCGAATGAGCAGAGAGCAAAGCGGTCTACCACAAATCACACACATCAAAGCTCATCGCCGGTAAACGGTACATTTGAAGGTTACATCTACGTTCTGAACGCCACACGGTTGGTACCTCGGGGATAGCAGCAGGGTCAGTGATGGTTGCCATGACTTCGTTGATTAGCTCCACAGGAATGTCTCCCGTCACTCGGGGTCTCTTGTTTTCCTCGTGAATGAGTGGCTCCGATGCTTTGCGCTTCTCTCCGACTGTGTAAAAATAACATAAGACAATAAGGTTGCTATGTCTGTAATATGACCAGTTGCATTTTTATAGTGTAGTATTTAGTAAAGTAATTATTTATGTTGAAAATTTTGAACACCAAAAGACAAAATCAATAACATGATACAAAAATAAAAAGTATTACAAGGTTGGACAAAGCAGATATTTGATTTTATCCCCTCACACAGACTACACACTGAATGAACACACATTATTTATGGACGCTGTACGCTTCATACTACAATATGAGTTTCGTCACATTCTTTGAAATGAAAGGCGTAGGTTGATACCTGGGCTTGGCTCCAGAGCAGACACCGGCTTTCTGGCAGGACTCACACTGCCCCCGGTGGACAAATCTACTGAGACAGGGCTGGTGCTGTAGTACAGCGGTCTGATGACTGGGGGTGCACTAATCACTACACAAATACAAAGAAAACAACATGTTTATCTATTTCATAATGGCAGGGATTTCATCAAGTACAGTAAAGGGTGTGTGGCCAAAGTTGATGTTGAGGTAATTATCGGTGAGTACCTGTGTGGACAGGGATCTGCCCTCCTGAAGCTCCTGCCAGGAAATCCAGACTCCAGATGGGAGAGTTGTGACTGTACACCTCCTCCTCCAGCATCGACAAGAACCTGGAAACACACAGGCTTTACATGAGGGGCTGGATTCTAAACTTTGTAAATCAGCTATTGTTGTGAGACTAATCAAGAAACACAAATATGTGGTGACAGTGTTGCCCACTGTTCTAAAGCTATATTCTTGCTACAGCGAGAGTACAGCATAGACACCAAGAGATTTAGACATGAACAAAAAACAGAAATGCTTTGATGAGAGATGGGGACGGTGCTGTGTCCGTGTATTCGCCCATAAGTCAGAAAAATAAAAATAAACAACAGAAATTTTACTTGTCTCAAAGAGTATCTTTAACAAAATCTATGTTTGCAAGTTTGACCTTATGTCACTAGACACATGGTCAAAGTGTGTAAATCATAATTTTCTCATCAAAATATTCACAGGGATTTAATCTGAATTACAAAAACATGAGGCAGAACAAGCGCCCCCATCGTTCAGAAAATAACTCCTTTAATGCATTGATTGGATTACAATAAAAATGGATGAAATACACTTCTAAAGGATGTCTCTGTTCTTACTTAGGGAAGTGTGTGAGAATAAGTGTACGTTTCTCTGGGGGAAGTTTGTCTTTCTCCTGCCGCGCCTGCTCCAGCAGCTGCTTCCTCATCACAGTGAACACCGAGCGCAACAGTGTCCGGCCAAAGATCTGCGTCGTCTCGTACCGGGGCAGACTGTCACAAAACTGAGGTACATTGCAGTAGCACAGCCATCTGAGCACAGAGAACAGAGACAACACATGTGTCCACGGTTACTGCCTCATGATGCTAACATGTGCAGCGCTATCCTCACAGTGAATATTTGAATTATTGCTTCAGTATTCTCCCAACAGAGTGTACTACAGATGACAGATGTATCTATTAGATTTATACAAAAATGAAATATTCAGAGTTAACTTTATTACTTATAAGCATATATGTCTCTGCACAAGCATAGATAGGTTTTTACTTTTCATACTTTGAGGTTTATTAAAATATACAGGAGGAATTTCTACTTCCGGGTGGATCATCAAGACCATTGGTCCTCCCAACTGTCAATCATTCTGGTGATACATGCCCGTCAAATAAGACCAGAGAGTTTTGTTCATAAAGTGGAGAGGGCGGCACTTTAATTTTGTGTTTCAATTATAGAGTTGTGCTATACTTAATATTCACTCCTCATTCCTTCTGTTCTGTATCCTGTGGTGCAACACTGAAACCTCCCACTGTGGGATATGAATAAGGGATTTTGTAATCGTAAGCTGTACCTGGTGTAGTTTGCTTTGTATCCTGCGGCGTCCTCATTGAGCACCCGCTGCCGCCTCTGGGACGGGGTCTCCAGCTGCCAGTAGTTGATCTGGTTCAGAAACATCTTTGCCAGCTCCACGATAGTCTGGCGCTCCTTAGAGGGAAGATGACTGAATTTGTATTGGACAAAATTGTTAACTCCCTACAGCAGAGGAAGAGAGGAAAGGCAAAAGATTATCCACCTGCTCGATTGGAGGGTCTCCGTTGATCAGTGCGCTTCCATTACCTGCTCTATACTCGGCCTCTCAAACGGAGGGCTCTCCTGTGCTTCCAACATAGGCTTTCCCATCAACAAGATAGATTTTCTAAGTAACTGGACAAAACCCAATATAATTTAATCAATGTTATCATTGTAATTTTACTGGCATCTTGTCATTTTTGAACACAGTGAACACCAAACTTACTTTAAAAAGCGAAAAGTAAACCTGCTTAGTGTCAGCATCCTCTTCTTTGTGAACACATGTGTAAAGATACTCCACGTCCATAACAATACCTAACAATCTGTTCATCTCCTCCTCAGAAACATTTTCTAAATGAGCAACATGGTCACCTAAGAAAGGGGATCACACTGTTAGAAGTAGGCCTTTGGCCATAAAAGTGTATATGAGGCTGATGTACCCAACGTGTGTGAGCAGCTCCGACACGGCTCCTGGAGGTTCACAGCGCTGGACTGCTGATCAGTGCGAGGGGGAGTGGGGGGTGGGTTCTGACTTTTCCAACCATTACATTTACAGGCTCCTTCAGCCTGAAACACAGTGTAAACATGTGTCTGTGAATAATACTGTACATATATCAAATGCAAGTGGAAATGTGTTTTGTGTTATAACGATGATATAGAACATCAATCTAATGACAGCAGGCTGTCACACACAGCTGGGAGCGCCTCTGTGCGCATGCGCCACAAAGCACAACACACTCCGCCCCTCAGCTGTCACCATTGTGCGGTCCCCTGTCAAAACAAAGAGTCTGGTGCATTCGCTGCACAGATCTGTGCTCAGGTCTGCTGTGGATGCACTGTCCATTGTCCACTATAGTGGCCAGAGGCCCTCACGCCCAAAGGGGAACACTAAAGCCCTGTACATCATGCACTGCTCTGCATCGTCAAAAGCCCCAGAAACAAGCAGTGACGAGTGTTTACATCCACCAACCCCCACCACCACACGAACAGGACCATATCAACAGTCTGCAGCCACAGGCCTCCACCCACAAGCGTCACGTAAATACGCCGTTAATAACCCGCTCGAGCTGAAAGTTTGCCTTTTCCAAAATGCCGACATTATAAGCACTAATGGCTTCCATCGCTGCGCTTGCAGAGTGAACTCCTGCAGCCTAAACCCCTCCATGCTTTTTCATCACAGTAGTATAACCACTGCACTGTATGGGGCACAAGTGCGTACTTTGCAGGATGAATAAACTCCGAGTTTTTCCAGTTTCTTGGGTCGGGGCGATGAGCGGAGTTGCGCCTTCTTCAGAGCGATCCGTGCAGATCCTCCAGCGGCGCTGGGGCCCTCGGCGCTTCCCGTTCCCCCGGCCCCCGGAGCGGCTGGTGCTGAGCCCGCGGCCCCAATGGCGGGAGAGCCCTGCTGAAAGGCCGCGCTGTCCGCCATGCTTTCCCCGGGGCAGGCGGAGGCCGGTCCGACAGATCCGATTTGCAGACCGCTCTAGTCCAACACTGGAGGATCAGACATGGCGCTCATCCTTATTTTCAGTCTCTCACTGCAGGGCCCTTTTCGTCCGGTAGGGGGCTGTGTGGAGCACTAAACCAGAGAACAGAACCACAACATTCTACACCAGTTGTATGTGTATTATCATTATCACAGTCTACATCATTAATGTTACATACAGGTTTATAAAAAGAAAAGTCGTGATCCCACAATTCATTTGGAAACGCTGTTTTAATACTATATTTGATGTACTCCGGTGGCGGAGCAGCTGGGGCCTGTGCGTCACATCAAGAAAGTCCAGGGTTCGATTCCACCTTCAGCCCGAGCCATCCTCTGTGCAGTTTGCATGTTCTACCCGTGTCTGCGTACGTTTTTTTCCAGCTGCTCCGGTTTCCCCTACCACTGAAAAACCCGTATGGAATGAGTGCTTGTGAGTGCAACTGTGGAACAACAAATACAAAGTCTTCCATGGCTACAATTCAGGTGTGTTCATTAAAATGCACTGTCCCAAACATAATAAATGTAAGTGTGACTCCATACATAATAAAATAAAAATCTTCTTAATGTGTTAATAAATTTATTTATGAATCATAGTTGCGCCTGCTGACAGTTGTTCAGCAGTTGAGTCACAAAGATCAAAGAACACTTATGAGCAGTGTTCGGGTCGACAGGAGCACCAGAATATCACTAGAAAAACTGGTGAGGTGCAAGAAAAAGATAAGGTTAAAAATTAAATTAAATCAAACACATTTCATTTTTTTAGTTTTTGAAGAAAAGTGTACAATACAGATCACTTAATAATTTCCATTTCATGTTTGTTATATTGCTAAATATATTCAGAATACAGACCGTTGATTATAATGGAACCATTTGTGGAGAAAAAAAAAAAATCAAAAATGTCACTAATCCTTTTTCCAATCACATTTCCGTTTTTTGCGTTTTTGATTTGGACAAAGTTTGCATTAGTTATGTTTGGAAACTCAGTAAGTAGAGTACACTGCAAGAACATATTTACAATAGGTTATTTATATATTTATATTCTATATATATGTATATCACACTGGCTGCAAATATGACAAGATATATTCATGAGCATTGTAAGTGCAAGGCATGAGGAGACAGACCTGTAATGACACAGAAGCACATGTATTGTGTCAATACATGTATGCCTTTTGTGATGCAAACATATGTTGTAATAAAAGTACAGAATAATGGGCCCAGCAGAGGAAAGACGCCGTAACAGACAAGTATGCAGCGATATTAAGACGTTCAATGAGACTTCATAATGTGCAAAAGTTTGGGTCATAAACGTCATCTAACAACAGTCACGTAGCAACAAAAAGTTTCTGCTACAGGACAAGACATTGAGCCATTTCAAATCAATGTAAATCGTATTCGTCAATGTAGATCGTATCGTCACTAGCGCTGAAGCAACACAGTGGAACACAGTGGAACACAGTCCAACAGGCAGAAACCAGAGGGTTTCAGAAGAGGAATGGAAGAGGAATGGACCCACTGGTAGAGTCCAGTGGGTTACATTGGTCCAGAAGAGTTTCAGACATAAATACTGAGAGGGATTGCACAATGCCATAAAGATAAACATTACAGACTTGCCATGAAAAAGATTCCACTCAACATTGAAATCCAATACAAAGTCTTATGAATCTTCATCTTTCAAAAAAAAAAGAAAAAAGTGAAAACATGTTGATGTTGACAGCATGCACTCCACTCTCTGGCTCTGTGCACACCTTTCCAACTCATGTTAGAAAGTTTAAAATATTACCAGATATTGGCATATAATAGCTGTCAAATCAAAAAGTCAAAGAAGAATACAGTAGTAAACGAGAAAAGTTCTCACAAAAAAGACATCAACACAGGGATAATGTCGAAAGAAGAGGCCCCAATTGTCTCTGCCCATGAACAGCTAAACAGAGTGAATAAAAGACTTGTGATGTAGCAGCAAAATCAGAAGGAGGCAAAGCCAGGGTTGACCTAGAAATGGTGGTTTTACCTCTTTTGAACGAGAAAGTGTTGGAGATAAGACTAAAGAGACTTTGAAGCAGTAACTGCAGTGGCATTGATGCATAGACTGCATCCGTTTGTGATGTAAAAGTTGTTTGGGAAGGCCTTCGTTGTGTTAGTTACTGCAGCATGGAGCCTTGGCAGGTTGTGCAGCCTCCGTTAGGTCCACTCCTCGGTTACGTCCAGTGTTAGTTCCAGCAGCCTGAGGTTCACTCTTCGGTAATCTTTTTGCTGAAACAAAAAGTAGCAAAAACTTAATTCCATTGCCAAGTTTAAAGTATTAACATGCATTTTATTTAGGGAGGAACCTACCAATAGCCATAAATATCTCATTCACATTCATAGAGGTCTTGGCTGATGTCTCCATAAATAGTAAGCTGTTGTCATCTGCATACGACTGTGCATCCTGAAAGATGTGATAATTATATATTAATCAACTGTTTATTCAATGTTTTGTCAAAAGTAAATCATGTTCTAACCTGGAAGTCCACAGCTCTTTTATTGGCCAGATCTGCCTTGTTGCCCGACAATGCAATGACAATATTAGGACTAGCTTGTCTTTGCAGCTCTTTTACCCAATTCTTTGCTCGAGCAAAAGATTCCTGAAGAAAAAAAGGCAATATGCATTTCTCCATCAAAAGCATATTTTCTATAAATCACAACTAAACAATGCAGCACCATCCCCACAATCAAATTCATACAAATCCAAAGGCAGTCAAATTTTAACATAATCGTCATGAGAATTTTTAGCTGCCCCAAATAAGATATGCCACATATTATAATTACTTTCACATTGATGAAAATTGATTAGTATGGGCTCCCATGGTTTGCTATATCATTTTAAAGCAACATTTCTCAAGTACAGATCCACATCTGTTGTTTTATTATAAGCACTGAACCCAAAACATACAAAGTAATAGTTAAGAAATTGGTCTAAAAATATAGCCAAAAAAGGTTGTGGCCCCAACTAGGTCTCCTTTTCATAAAATTAATTTGACTAATGGACTGATGATGACTTTGGGCTGTTGTTTTGTTTTCTGCACTTGGACATGAACCAGGGAAGAAAACAAGAGTGGATTTGTGTCAGGGCATTATGGGCATACCTCATTTGTGATGTCATAGACGACTATGGCTGCTTGTGCACCTCTGTAATACATAGGGGCCAAACTGTGGTAACGCTCCTGGCCTGCAGTATCCCAAATCTCAAACTTGACTGTTGTGTCGTCTAGACACACCGTCTGGGTGAGAAAGGCAGCTACAAAAGACATCAACAATAGTTTACTTATAAGAGTTACTCTAATAAAAAAAAAAAACATTAAAAGGTTTTCACATAGAAATGTGTTCATATTTTGAGGCACTCACCTCCTATTGTGCTCTCCTGGAATTCATGAAACTGCCCTTTGACAAAGCGAAGTACCAGGCTTGACTTTCCGACCGCTGACTCACCCAGAAGCACCAGCTTAAACTGACAGATTTTGTTCCCTGCACTTGGTCCAATGGGTCTTGTCGCTCCTCCTCGATTGGCCATGACCTTGACAGATCACCTGGTATCTTCAAACTTTACTTTTCAGACTGCTTTAAATTAAAAAAAAGAACAGCAGATATTCAGAAGATATTTCATTTTATTTTTTTCTTTTCACACACAACATTGGTCAGTATTTAACTGTTGGCACTTGCACAGCATACTTGGATATAATTCTAACCAGGGATTTTGTTCACTATCAAATTGGTAACAGCAGACAACTGTTGTTGTTACACAGAGCCACTTTGTGCCCCACAGAATCTTGGAGGTATTTTGACCATTTGGTGTAATGACAAATATATATATACATGTATAATTACTAAGAACATAGGAATTAATTTGGGCAAAGTTTTGGCCCCAAATTTGATTCTTGAATTAGTTTTATGACCTTAAACATATGGTTGTGACAAGTTAGTAGCAGGAGGTCATTTTCACTGTATTTATATTTCTAATCAACAGAACACGTATGCATCAACAGCGTTAACTAAACACCGTCCACTAGATTCATGCTTGCAATAATATATGACAAAAAAACCTTGGATTTTGTTTAATAAATCTCATTGGAGAAACCAGTTTTCCCCATTTAAGTAAGTCAGTAAGGACTCACACGACATATAGTTTGATCATTTGAGCAAACCTACCACGAAGACACCTGACAATCTGAAAACAAACTATTGTTTTCCTTAGAATTTATGAACACATGAGGCACTACGAGCCCAGAGCCTCTCCCCACACTGACCATAGACTGTATATAATAAGATACTGACAGGACCCGGACAGGACCAGGCGTTAGCTTTAGCACTGCGCAGCTAGCTCCCGATGAGAGTCAGGAGCGCAGTCTGGGGGCCACACAACGACCCCAACTCTTACCACTGCTGCTGAGTGTGGATGAAGGCCAGACAGAGGATTTGGACGCTACAATCCAAGAACAAAACAGACAATTATCTCAAAAATCCTCTACCGTCTTCTCCTTTCTTTCTTGTCGCAACTTCCCTTTAGAACCAAAACACAAGAGCTTCCGCCTCTGCGCCACGTCACGCAGCGTCTGCCCCTTAGACTGTACGTCTGCCCCTTAGACTGTACGTCTGCCCCAGAGACTGTACGTCTGCCCGTGCGTCTCCTGCGCTCACACAGGATCTGTTATAATAATAATAATAATAATAATAATAATAATAATAATAATAATAATAATAATAATAACAATAATAATAATAATAATAATAATAATAATAATATCATGTTATGACACTTTACAGCATCTATTTTTCACCTGTTCAGTCCCTCGTAAATTTTGGAGTGACATAAGAGAGTGGCTTTCCTTAAGCTTTTTAGACATTCCTGATTGTGTCACATATTCTTTTTTGTATAATCAAAATATAATCAAAAATTTAAATGGGACAGTTTCAGATGTTGTAAATATAGTTTACATTGTAGTAAATGGAGAAATTCAATCTCCTGTTTCAATCATTCTGGAATTGATTCAGAATTTACCATTCCTTGTTAAAACTGCTAAAGTCTGTGCCTCTATGTCTAAATTGTATTAATAATAATGAGTACGATTAATTCCAAGTTTATGCATACATTGTTTATTGTTATATGTCATGTGACATCTGCAAGAATTGTATTTAATAAAAAGGGAAAAAGCAAAAACATAAATGTATATTATAACACTTTAAAAATAATGTAAACAAACCATTATCCAAAATCATGCACATGTGACTGACACAAATGTATACATGTATACTACACCAGTTAATTATGTTTTACCAATCAAAACATAGTTTATTTTAATTGTAAATATACCACACTTGGAATGTGTACACTGTTATAACCAACAGATGGCAGCATAGTGAAGTAAAGGAAACAAATTGCAATCCAAAATAAAAGAAGAAATCTCGGTTCCGCTGCTATATCCGGGCGTGATCCGTCATACATTCTATGGTGTAAAATAGTGAAAATAGTTGTTTTATAACTCCTATAAGATGCATGTGTAGTAACCGTGGGTCCAGTTAAACATCAGCAGTAATAGTCATGGCTGAGGACACTCTGGAGTCTGCAGATGAGCTGCTGGCGAAACAACATCGCAAAGAAAAGAAAGAATTACAAGGTTGGATGACACACATAAACAGTGTGTGATGTGCACGTTTTATTCAATTTATGATAAGTTCAGATAATCGATAATGAAATGTAGTATGCGTGTGTGTATATATCTTCTATGAACTAATCTTACATCATTTTGGCTTTCAGCAAAAATACAGAGCCTGAAAAACGCTGTCCCTAAAAATGACAAGAAACGGAGAAAACAAATGACTGACGAAATAGCAACGTTGGAAGCTGATTTAAATAAGAAACACGAAGAAGAGCTCAAACAACTCAATGCAGATGGTCACATACAAGTAATGATTATTCCTCAATTATACATTTTATAAGAACTATAATTCGTGTACTTCGTTATTTAAAAAAACAAAAACTGTTTACTAGGTTGAACAGGTTACAGATGAAGTTGAGTGTCTCACAGTGGAGAATGAGCCGCAAGAGGACTCCAAACAACCTCGTCTCACCAAGGCCCAGAAGAGAAGAGTGAGTCATTTAATATGTCTTTTTGTAAGTAAATGAGTGAAACTATAATGTTTCCCCCCTGGCTCAACTTGATAATTTCAGGACAAGAAAGCTGCTCAGGAGAAGGAGAGAGAAAGCAGAATAGCAGAAGCGGAGGTGGAGAACCTGTTGGGAGAGCGGCACCAGGAAGGCTTGAAGCTCGCTCAGAAACTGGCTCAGCAGCAGCTTCAGATCAGAGAAATATCCTCCGATGGACACTGCATGTACCGAGCCATTGAAGATCAGCTATCACAAAAATCACTAGTATGTGGAAGTCAGTCACTTTCGATATAACACTTGAATCCATTATTATATTGTTTTAAATCATTAATGTATGGATGCAGTTTGGGGGAGCCATGACTGTGAAGGAACTGCGTTGTCAGACGGCTGGACACATGCGAAAAAACGTGGATGACTTCCTGCCGTTCCTCTCCAACCCTCAAACTGGTGACTTGTTCTCAACAGGTATTATGAGCACTACTCTCAGTTTCAGATTCAGTTTATTTGCCATTTGCAGTTAAAAAAAAACCCACATTGGAATACATTAGCAAAAAGTCTCCAGTGTGCACAGACAAATACAGACAAAACACAACATTAAAAGACAGAAATAAAACAAATAAAACAGTAAATCATTGTCACTGTGAAATCGATCGGCTAAAACAGTTTTAGTACAAGTGCAAATCATTAAAGTGCTCTGTTCACACTGATAACAGCCTGTGGAAAAAAGCTGTTAGCATAACGAGATGTCCTGCATCTCCGAGAGCAATATCTTCTGCCAGAGGGAAGAAGCTGGAACATGGCTTTCCCAGGGTGGCCAGAAGAGTCTCTACAAATATCTCCAAGTTTAGAATTAAGAATCTTTGCACCACAAGCTGCGACTGCAATGCAAGATTCTGCTTCATGTTTCGAACAACCCTCGTATCAGACGCCTTACTTTGTTTACAATTGCTTAAATCAAAGGGGCCAACTTTGAGTATCTCTTCTTCACTGACAAATATGGCGGTTATTTACAATTGTTCAGATGATCAATGAGTCGGCCGTTTATTCTTCATATAGATATAGATATAGATTAGTTGTTTTAGATCCCGAAAGGTCAGTGAATATTGGATTTTTGTAATACATTTGACCAAAACATGGCTCTAGTGCTGCCCTGGAGAACATCTTCAATACAGATAATTTGTTTCACACTGGATTAAAATTCTGCTGTCATTCTAGAATTAACTGAGACATAATCCCTCTTTTCAGCCTGTTTAAGTCCATGTAAGGTTAAAAACCTTTATTGATTTCCTAAGTTAGTGACAACAATTTCAAGAATTGAATAGTTGCGGTTAATCAATGGACTTGTTGAAGCTCTACTAATACATTATTTATTTCAAGATGAATTTGAAAAATACTGCAGTGACGTGGAGCACACATCTGCTTGGGGAGGTCAATTAGAGGTAAAACTGCCATTTCTGAACTGGTACATTTCTGTCACAAGATTGAAAGCAAGTTTGATTAATTTGGTTCTATTTGCAGCTGCGAGCTCTGACCCACACTCTTCAGTTACCTATTGAAGTCGTGCAGGCAGACTCTCCAACGATAAAGATTGGGGAGGAGTACAGCGGGGACTGTATAACCCTTGTGTAAGTTATTATGATTATTCTTATATTCACAGATCCTGAAATCTTGAGCCTTGTAGATTTGAACATGTGAATAATTGTATTGTACTTTTTCAGCTACATGCACCATGCTTATGGACTGGGTGAACACTACAATTCTGTGGAGAAGCTGAAGGAGCCTGTTGAGGACACCTGAAACATGTTGCCTCAAAAGCCGACCCCTCCAGCAGAAGAACGCCTCTGAAAATGGAACTGCGTCTGATATGGCATGTTGCAGATATTAGACTGCTGCTTCCAAATATTGTGTTTTGTTAAAGAAATCTCATTATTGAATGCAAATATTTCACTGGCATCATGGAGAGTTATTTAAGTGCACTGAAGTTTAACATAATCTATTCTGTACATATCAATTGAGACTATTGCATTATGGGATTGTCTATGATTAAATGAGAAACAGACAAAACTGCAGCATTTCCTTGAATCATTTCTTGTTCATATACAAACAAAAAGTGGTTATAAATGTCAGAGTGTGGATGTTTTTCTGTCACTAACCAGAGATTTGAGGAATGAAAAATTGTAAGCGAAAAACCATAGCAATCTGTTTCCATGTAAATACAATGTTGTCATTGTCAGTTGTAATAAAAATGACAATCAAAATAATTACACAAATTCAATTGCCAAATGTAAATGTACATACAAGTTTCGAGTAAGAAGATTAAATAATGACTTTGTAACTTAGCACATATATTTATATATGTGTGTGTATATACAAAGCTCTGTCAGTCACTATTTGACGTCTGTGCTGAGAGCTGATTGCTTTTTAAAAATTTTAAGCTCTTAAAACATTGATCTAGAGACGTGACAGAGGCCCAAAATACATGTGAAAACACCTGTGATATAAGAAATGTATCTCAGTAAACGTTTAGTTAGATAATAGTCACAATGTGGTTTGAAAGTTAGGTACCCCATCTTTAGACCTTTAGGAAGCTCTGTTCCTGCCAGTGGAGGGCGCTGTGGTTCCATGGAAGTGCCAGAGAGTCCGTTGTCATAGAAACCTAGGCGCGTCAGTTCGGCCAGGTCTGGGACATGGATCTCCTGTCTGGGCTGTCGGGGTCTGGAGTTAGAGCCTGTTGTTACGCCACGGCTAACTTAACTTCTTTAAAAATGAGCTCCCAAAAACTGAAGGAGGTCCCCCCACATGTTTGCTTGTTTCCAGAGCTTTCTGTTTTACTCCTGAATAATAACCACAGTTTGTATTGTTCTTACTGTATGTACTGTACAGTAAACATTTGTATTATGTGTTTTTACCCAGCATGGTATTGTTTCCGTCTTATTGATTGTCCTGTGAGTCTGGGTGAGGGGGGTTGGATTAATATAAGCATTTTGCTTCCTCCAACCCCTTTTCAATCCCTGTACGTGTTTTTGCTTTTGTTTTGTTTTCTGTAAATTTATGTGTGCAGGTTTTGAAATAAATATTTCATTCATTCATACAGTTTCTGAAGAAGTGCTAAAGTCCTGGAGGTTTTGGGGTTCTGGAGTAGAGGATACTTGGATGACCTCAGGTGGGTTATGGTCCTGCACCAGACTTTCAAGGTCTAACGAAGAGATGGAGTCCAGGGACGAGGGAAGATCCACTGGACTGTCCTGCTCAGGAGAAGCAGGGGCCACAGCACAGGTCTGAACCAGATCCTCAGAGAAAAGATCCTCAAGGACAAGAACCTCTGGGATTGTCTCCACTTGGATTGTCTCCTCTCTGATTGTCTCCACTTGGATTGTCTCCTTTGGGATTGTCTCCTCTGGGATTGTCTCCACTTGGATTGTCTCTTCTGGGATTGTCTCTTCTGGGATTGTCTCCTCTCTGATTGTCTCTTCTGGGATTGTCTCCTCTGAGATTGTCTCTGGGATTGTCTCCTCTGGGATTGTCTCCTCTGGGATTGTCTCCACTTGGATTGTCTCCTCTCTGATTGTCTCTTCTGGGATTGTCCCCTCTGGGATTGTCTCCTCTGGGATTGTCTCCTCTGGGATTGTCTCCTCTCTGATTGTCCCCTTTGGGATTGTCTCCACTTGTATTGTCTCCTCTGGGATTGTCTCCTCTGGGATTGTCTCCACTTGGATTGTCCCCTCTGGGATTGTCCCCTCTGGGATTGTCCCCTCTGGGAATGTCTCCACTTGGATTTTTTCCTCTGTGATTGTCTCCTCTGGAATTGTCTCCCCTGGGATTGTCCCCTCTGGGATTGTCTCCACTTGGATTGTCTCCTCTGGGATTGTCTGCTCTGGAATTGTCTCCTCTGGGATTGTCTCCACTTGGATTGTCTCCTCGGGGACAAGATCCTTAGGAACATGCACCTCTGTGATTGGCTCCTTGGGGACAAGATCTTCAACGACATATATCTCTTTGATTGGCTCCTCAGAGACAGGCTCCTCTAAGAAGGGTTTCTCTGGGATGGGCTCCTGGAGGGCCGGTGGGGAACTCTCACTCTGGGATGTATGTGTGTCTTTCTGAGCTGATGCGACGGTAGCTTTAAACGCCTGCCTGGCCTGGAGCTTCTCTGTCTCTCGCAGTTTGAAGACCCTCTGCTGGAAGAGGAGGTCCTCAGAGGGGGACAGCTGAGGGTTGTCCAGCTTCATCTGCTCTTTGAACCCCATCATGTGCAACATTGCCTCTGCTGCCTGGAGCTTGGCCGCCTTCTTGTTTGGACCCAGTCCCTGACATGTCCTCTGGTCCACTCTGACCTCTATGCAGAACTCTGATGCATGGTAGCCACGGTGTTGGATGCCGACCACCTTGTACTCAGCTGGCCTCTGCTTCCTCACCATCAGGATCTCTGCCAGGGCACTGATGGGGTCTTTCTTGAAGAAGAAGTAGACCCGCTGTGAGGGGTCCACCAGCTCCATGCGGGGTTTGGACCAGTAGGGGGTCACGTCCTCTGGCAAAGGGCGCTTCCTCAGCTGATGCAACACCACCTTAGCTGCACTTAGCTTGGCCTTTTGTTTGGTGGGACCTGAACCATACCCCACCAGGTCCCCCACTGCCAGCTCTATGTGAAAGATCTGTGCATGGCTCGGGCCCTCTTTATCCATGTCAGTGAACTGCAGCTGCAGCTGGTGCAGACATGCCAGCTCATAAAGGAGGGACAGGTCCGTCTTGTGAACTTCACTGGGGTGTTCACGGTGCATGTTGTCTGTGTTGTACTTGCTTTTGTGTCTATAATGTGGTAAACTAATACTCTGTTGTAGGAACAGGTCGCGGTGTCTCTATGGACGTATGTTTTCTCAGCCTGTATTAAGCCTCTCATGTGAACTTTTAAAACCAAAATTCTAGAATGAAATTACAAAGACATGTTGGGTTGCCATGACAACACGGCAACCGTTGTCACGCATGCGCCCAGAGCAAATAATGCATAGTTTAGGAGTGACTTCTCTTTGAAAATGTCCCAAATGCCCACATTGTAAACCGCTTTGTGAAAGGCATTATATAAATAAAGGTAATATATAAATAAAGATGACTGACTTACTTAAGATTACTTGCTCAAATCATTAAAGACAAAACAAGGAATAAAACAAGGATTTCTATCTTTACAATACAATTACAATACAGTTTATTCTTGAATAGCCCTAAATCACAGCAGAAGTAATCTCAGAGGACTGAACAAAACCATTGAAATCACCAACACAGATCAGAGAATCAACAGTTAAAACACATAAAGAATACAGAACACATGTTGATAAATGTCCATACATGTTGTAGAATGTTAAAGTGTCCTGGATCATCACCACAGTCCTTCTAGTTGGACACTAACTGCCCAACAGACCTTCCTGCATCGGCAAGGAAAAACTCTTTATTCAGATATTATGGTCCCAGCTGGATTCGTCTGCATATCTGGCAACCTGAGTCAGGGCGAGTGCAGTACCATTGTTTGCCAGATTTGTACATACCGCTTCTATAAATTTGTGTTGGGGTTTTTCACACTTATGCATGATAAGTTATAGAATCCTTCAGATATGTGTTTGAATACTGAAGAAAGACGAACAATTGTAGATTTTTATGGAATAAAGCTTGAGTACCCATAGCTGTAAAACCACAGGCAATATGTTATGTTCATGTGACATCACAACATTCCAAAGAGCACGAGCAGATTAGTGCGGACAAGAACGAGCAGAGTTTATTAGATAAACATGTGCATTTGTTGATAACTGACTTGTATTTATTGTTGTTTAGTTTGTAACAGTTGTGTTTTCATGTCTATAGATGTGCCTTCCGCCAAGGTATTTATCTTTTTAAATGATGTTGAAAACCAGAAGAAAAACATATTATTAATAGTATTTAATATTTTGCGAGTGCATTTTAAAAATAAATTAATGTCAAGCACATCCCTTTTCAAGCACAGCACATGAGCTTGCCCATATCCAAGAATGCTACCTTTCTGCAAGATAAATAGATATTTTCTTTCATGCTTTGTCAAAATATGTCAAAAAATTGGGATGTTTTTTCCCTCAGAATTCAGAGAATTATAAAAGCACTGTCGGAGGCTGCAAACATTATACCATGGCAGAAGTAGAGGAGGTCTCTCTTTGTGTCCAGCACAGAACTGAAAGTACCACTTGAATGTGCATGCTGAGCTGACATTTTGGGAATAAATGCTTTCATATTAAGCTTGCCATCTGGTGCTGCTAAAGACACTATTTTTTTCATCAATCTGTTCAAATTAATTGAAGCTTTTAAAGATAACATAGAGATTAATGGCATTGTCTTAAACTGTTGCAGTTCTGATAAAATATTGAATCAATGAAACCACAAACCCATTAGCTCTCAGGCATCAGCTCATTTGTCTTTCAAGTATTTGCAGCAGGCCCGGACTGGCCATCGGGAGCATCGGGAGATCTCCCGGTGGCCTGCGTGTCAAAGTGGCCTGGGCCTGCCCTATCATCACGGTCTTTTTTTCTTTTTTTTTTTTTCTTCTTTCTTTTAATTTAATTTCATCCTCACGGTCTTTGCAAACTCCTACCCTGCCTGGTGGCCTGGTCCAATGAGCAAGGCCCAGGCCAAAGGCAGTGTTGTGCGTGAACGAGTTCAAAAGAACGCGTTCATTGAACACGCTCATTTTTTCGTGAAACGTTGAACACATTTTTTAATAAATAACTTGAACGTGAATTAGTTCATATTATGTGTCATGAACGGCAGACAATTTGTTTTCC